AACCCAGGGATCCGAGAGGTAACCTGAGCGGCCTGAGGACACCTACGGTTGCACATGGAAACGCCTAGATTTGGAGCCAGGTATACATGAACTCAGCGCCACTCTGCCGAGCACACAGTGACCGAGGGGCAGACAGAGTCAAGGGGAGATGGAGAGAGGGCTCCCTTATCTCTTTTCACTTACATTTTAATTAGGGAGGAGGGTAGTGTGTCTGAGGGCTCAGAGAGGGTGCAGGCGACTGTGCACTAGTTCGGGGAGAAGGTTCAGGACGCGCTGGAAGAAACCAGCAGGCTTCTCAATGACTTCCCTCCTTTTCCCTCCATACACGATCTCATCCCAACTCAAAGCTTCGAGAACTTTTCAACACGAAGCGCACGGGCCCCCTCCTGGCGCCTCCCCTTTTATAGTCAGACGACAATCCCTGGTCCAAAAATAAATCAGCCTGATAAGAGGCCAGGAAAAGCAAAGCTTAATAGTTTTATGCTTTCACTACTGAGTTATGGAACATTCGTTGGATAAATTTATCATCACATTTTCACAAATTCCCCTACAAATGAATAATTCTAGGATAGGCCCAAATGACTCTGGCCTCTTGACCCAACATGTTTTTGTAATTACTTGGTGCTCTGACTGTATGGTACTTAAATTACGGAGCGGTCACCGAGTTATTTTTAGACTATGGCAACACGCACGCACGCGTGCACGCGCACACACAGCTGTACCTAGCTTGTTATTTGTGCTCCTTTGGAAAAGGCAACCAAACTGCCTCTTTAACCAGCACCATGAGTCCTGCTCAGTCATCACAAGATGAGCTGCATTTCTGAGTGATTACCACACATGAAGAACTGTTTAGCTACTCCGCACACATTAGTTCTTTGTATTCCTAAACCAACACCACGAGACAGCTCCTGTTAGGTCCTCTTTTTAGAAATGAGGGAACTAAGAAAGTGAGGGATTATGTAATGTGTCCCTCAAGTAAGGAGAGCGGGGGCAACCAAAATTAGTACTCAGACTGAATCCCAAGTCCACTGTTTGCTATAGAGCTAATGTTTGGTATGTTTGGACGTTCAGCAGAGGTTCAGAATGACAATAGTTAAGTTGTGAATATAGACATGTACTCACAACACCCCTGAGGGACAAGAGGCAAATGTGTGCCTCCCACAAGACAAAGCAGAAAGAGAAAGAATATTTTCACAGGGTCTCTGATTTCTGAGCGTAGCCATTCATTTTGTGATCAGACTCAGTACTGCCTGTGTTTACTTCCCAATCCTTGTTAACTATGGAAGAATGTGCCGTCTACGTTGCTCATTTCTCAGGAGTTACAATGGAAAGTTTTATGGTATTGAAGTCTAGCTCCCCACATTATTCAACCTTCTCTATGTATCAGCCTCCTGAAGGGATTCTTTCTCCTCCCCCTGCTCCAAACGAACGCCTCTGGTACAGAAGCAGGACTGTCAGGCTCTGTCTGGTGACAGCACACAGCAAGTAGGTGCCCATGCACAGGTGCCCTGACATACCTGTGCAGAACAAGGGCTAGGGACCCCAGCTGCCACCTGGAGGAAGGGCTGCTTCTCCGCAGACCTGACCACCTGTGAGTCACAGCAGAACTCGAAGTCTGCAGAAGTCTCAAACATGGGCACGTGACATTGTCCATACTGTACTGTAAGATCTCCCCAGCTTCATTAATTTTAAAACATTATGTGTAAGCACAAAACCTATTTAAACACATTAAAATATTGTCTACTCTATAGAATTTTTCAACTAAAACAGGAAGATAGGGAAAAGAGCGATAATTGTTTAATCTGGCAACAGGTATGTGGGTGCTCACTATACTGTTTCCTCCTTGTCTGTATATTTGAAAATTTTTATAATAAAATCTGTAAAGGCATAGACTGTCTTTAAGAAGGGGGTGACAGTGGCTTATCCTTTCTTACTCAGGTACGTGATAAATTACTCCCCTGAACCCAACCGTGGGAGCCTTATAAACATCATAGCAAAGAAGGTACCTTTCCTTCTGGAACGCCTAGCATTGTCCAGCCTTCTTATTCAGTGTGGTTGGGAATCCTATGAAGATTTGAGTTTCGATAAAACAAATTCTAATGCTTTCAGAGCTTCTGCAAGTCCCTGCATATTTATTCATTTCTCCAAGTTGGGTAGGAGCGCAGGTCTGATGCCATTTTTGTCCTCGGAAGCTGAGACTGACACATGGCTTCAGACACAGGTCACCAAGGGGAGGGGACTGTCCATTAGAGCAGTAACTTAATCTCAGGGGCTCCTGCACCTCTGCTCACCCTCTTCCCGACCTGACACAGCATTGCTAAAACGGCAACTGAGCAGCCGTTCTCCTTGACAGGCAGCACCAAAAATGGAGAACGTGGCATTGAAACAGGGGACATTAAACTTGGACAGGGAGGGTAGCAACCAGTGTTTACAAACACACACGAGGGCAGCAGGTGGGCCAGCCATAAATTACCCAAGATTGTACTGAAATCTCTGAAAATAAATCAATGAGGCCTTCAAAGTTTCTGCCTCAGCAGATCCTCACTAGCCCCACCACCATGTCCGCCTGACAAAAATCACTCATTCCAAGATGGTACCACTGCCACTCTTGTTCAAATAAAATCTTACATCATAGGGGTTGGGGTGAGTAACAGACCTCAGCAGAGAAGCCAGACCAGAGTGGTCACTTGCCCTACTCAAGAGCCCAAAAGAAGTGCTGGCCGTGCCTTCTGAGAGATGCCCCCTCATTCCCCAGTCAATGGTGCTATGGTGTGACCTTGGGTTTGCCCAGGTGAAAGGGTAGCTGGGGCATCCTGGCATTGCTCTCTCTTCTTTCCCATCATGGTCCCAGTTCTAGGCCATTCCCCCCAGAGTCCAAAATTGTAAGGACGATAATAATAAATAAAGTAGACTGTAGACCCTTTGCCTCTAAAATACATATTTTTAACCAAACTCTCAAATACTTGAAGAAAAAAACCCCAAAGCTACAAATAATCCAACCTCTACGACCAGGCGTCCTCCAGGCCGACCGCCGCTGTGTCTCACCGACCCGAAAATGACGAGCCCTCCCAGTGGCTGCCCCGGGCGCCCAGCGGTGAGGTCAGCAGCACGTCCGGCCCCGCCCCACTGAGTCCACCTCACCCCCTGACGCTGAGGAACAGGCCCGGGCGTCCTGCAGTCTCAGCTGCCCCGCAGGAAAGTGGGGAGGAACCCCGCTGTTGCCAGTAGCAGCCAGGAGACTCATTTCTCAGTGATTGACAAGTCGCCCCCATACACAACAATGCCCGCTGCCAAACGAAGGTAAGATCTACAGCTCCTCCTAACCACCCATGTGTTCAAGTCCAGGGTCATCTTGGAGTAGATTGTTTGACGCCTACCCTCAGATCACACAGGCACAAAAGGACTGCTTTTCCTCAATAGCATCTCCTCTGCGGGAGCAGGGAGATAACAATTAAGACCATTGGCTACTCCTCTGTCTGCCCCCCCATACAAACTACCACCAACGGGAAATGTGTAGGTTGTACTTTCTCATCCAAAGAAAGCCAAGCCAAGATCATGGTAAGAAAACACTAGCTGGGTAAACGTACTAGGAATCATGCAAAGTCAACTGAATAGCAGTAAAATACAGAGCTACACAGAAGAAATCTGAACATACCTGTCAACAAAAGGAAACCCAGGAACAGCAACAAAGTCATAACCAGAAGCTGCTGGAACTCTCTGGATACAACCTCCCTGAGGCCATTCTTCCCATCAGAACCCACCAGCCCTAAGGAAAGTTGTGCCTTTGTGGTAGCTGGGTCCAATGAGAGCAAGTTCAAGGGTGGTGGAGGGTGGGGCAGAGGGCTTAGAGCAAAGGAATTCAGAACCATATTTCCAAGAATGCTACTTAACAAAAGGCAGATGCACCTTTGGGAAGACCAGAGGGAGAGGGGCAGAGCTGTCCTCACGAAGACGAAACAAGTCCCTTGCTCACCTCAACGCCTGTTGCAGTTTAAGTATGTAAGATGCTCAAAGGAAGCCTCTGGTCCACGCTGTTCAGGAGAGCGGAGGTGATGTGGCCCAGGTTGTGCACCTTGGCTCAAACGAATGGAAGAGAAGAAAGATGACTATCTCTCAGGGCCACCACCACCGGACAGAAGACACCAAAGAGGAAGAACGGGGTATGGTGCCCCCAAGGGCTGGTATTTGAGGGCAAAGAGGCAAAACTGGGGATAGACGCAGGACAAGGGCTGCCCTGCTGGTAAGGGCAGGAAGGGGCGCAGAGAACAGTGGGTAATTCATTCCTCCTGCCAGGGCTCCGCAACCACGAGCTCAGAGTCGCTCTGCATGGAGTGTCCTAAGGGAAGTGACTCCCTGCCCCACCTTGGGAGGAGCCATGATGCCAGCAGTTGTCAGGTGCAGCCACAGTGTGTTGGGGATGATGACAGAAGAATGACTCTGTCCCCTTAGAGCTGTGGCAGAAGAACAGATACACTGTGGGGCATTACAGTAAGGATCTCTGTCCCTCTACCCGTCACTTTATAAGTCACATGACACCCAAGCTGGCCAGAGAAGTGAGAAAGAGGGAAATTCTCCCACAACAAGAATGGGTACCTGCAAGTTTACCTGTAGCCCACACGGTGGCTGCTTCCTCAGTTCTGTCAACTTGGGTTAAGCCTGAGCAACAATAACTTTCCAAGTAGTGATTGATTGAAATAGAGCTACCAGCCCAGGCATGACTACAGACACCATCTGGTGATATAAAAGCCCCCTTTTCAAACAACGAAAAAAGCCTCAGAAAGGTGAAATGACTTGCACCATGCAAATTAGAAGGTGAAGCAAGACCAGAACCCAAATCTTCTGCTGGGTTTCTTTCTCTGAGCCAAAATAATTAAGGAAGGGCACGGGAAGACAGACAAGAAGAAGAAGGTCTATTCCATCTTCTGTAGGTAGGGGTCAGGAGAACGCCGGTACTTCTAAGAGAAAACCCCGAGCAAGTGTGCTGGGGAAGGGGGCATTACCTTTCAACACCAGAGGTTCTTTGCCTTCTCTCTTCAGGGACTCGAGGACTATGTGAAGCGGCTGTGAAGGCATCACTCGGCTCGGCTCATTGGTATTCTCATCATAAACTATAATTTCTTTGGAAAAGATCCTCTTGAAGGAGTCCTTGCCTTCCCTACAGGAAATCAAGTCTAAGACAGTGATTTTGCCCTGCTGCAGCCTCCGCCGGCTGATCTTGTCGGCACAGTTAATGTGGACAGCTCCTTGGATGTGGCTCTTGTTGTACTCCATGAAGGGCCTGCAGTCAATGATGACCGGGCCCTGGCTCGGCAGGTGACTCTTGCTGCACTTGGTCATCTTCTTTGCCAAGTCATTGGGGTAGATGATTTTGATGCTGGCGAGCTGCTTGGGGGTCCCCGATACGGGGCTGCCCACCCCGCCCGATGGACTTAGAGAGCCTGCGTTCTCATTGCTGTTGACCATCTGGGTGGCGGGGCAGGTGCTGGAGGTTCCAATGGCAGTGGTGGCGGAGCCAGCAGCAATGGCTTGGGTCTGGGCCTGATTGTCCTTGTCGTAGGTTGCCACAGTGCAGCAGCTGGTGCTGCTGCATCCACAGTTGAGGGAGCGGGCAGAGCCGCTGGATGAGGGCATATACGTCAGATTCGCAGCCTTTAGGGACACGACGGCCGTGGCGAGGACAGGAGGGTGGCTGTTGCTGCCTGGGGCGGCAGGGCCAAGGTAGCTAGAGTCTAAGCAGAGGTTGAGATCCTGAGGCCGGACCGGCCTGGACAGTGTCACTACTACCCTGTCGTCTAAAGGAGACGGAGGCATGAGGAGGCTGAACGCTGGCAACTCAAGAAGAACTGAAGACAGTCTGTAAAGAAGGGGTGGGGGAGAGACAGGATAAAGTCATGTGGCACAAAATGCAGCCTCGTCCAGTGCCCACGAGAGGCCACTGCACCCCTCTTGGCAGAGCCGTCCTGCTGCCCTTTCTCATGCTGCTCTTACGACTTGGAACTCATTTTACGGATTCAACCTGAGGCTCCTCATCTATTCGGTCACTGTTGTCTAAGGTGAACCACGTACATAGTCTGCACACATGGCGATGAACCACCTTTCTTGGACCCACATCAAAGTTCGGCCTTGGGGACGGTAAAAGCACAAAGACTTGGAAACTCTGAAGACAGAAAGGAAGGCTCGGAAGAGGTAACTATTCTAGGCCTCATCTCCTGGGCAGAAGTAAAGGGCCACTCTCTGAGAAGGACCCATTAGTCCAGCCTTGCATACTTCCCATGTAATTCCTCACCCACTGCAACGGCAGAGGAACGACCAAGAGCAGGGGCATGGGCTCGCAGACATACACAGCAGCTAAATATACATCCGGGCGGACGTCAACTTTCTGCCCATCAGGATGAAAGCATCCCCCTAAGTGCATGTCTTTAGCTGGGAGCTATTCTTGCTTTCCATCCGACCGAGCCCTTTGAAAAGCACACACAGTCATATTAAAACCTCCCATGCTTCCTCTTAGCCTCTTATTAATTAATCTGCATTTCCCCTTTCACGACAGACTGCTATTGCCTGAAATGAAGCTTCAAGCCAAGGAGCCAGGTCGGGCAACCCCAACCCTGGGGGACCTCTCCGCCCTCTGTTGCCAGCCCCTCCCCCCACCCCCTCCCCTGCCTTTAAGAGAAGGACCACGTTGACTCTCCTCTCCATTTCCCCTCAGGCACAGGCTGTGGTCCTAAAGCTTCTCTCAACAGGAGGCAGGTGCTGTGCGTGATATTTCAACCCTACACAGATATCCTCCTCTCCGAGGGGGTGAATTCCAGAAAGAAGCCTTCCCAGTTAGCCTGTCCCTGTTAAAGGAGGCCGCGAAGTATTGCCCTCCGGGTCCACCTCCTGTCTGGAGAGGGCGCCTGTAAAGAAAGGGACAGTTCCTTCCTCACGGTAGGCACAGGGGCGCCCTACAACGGGGCCCTGCTGGCTCCTCTCCTGTTAGCCATGCACACAGCGAAGAGACCAAACCCCATGCAAGAGTCACTCACCTAAACGAACTTTAAGAGAGGTCTGGGAAAAATGTCATCTATCATCCGTCTACACCGGGCCGTCACCATTTTCTGACACAGAGCCCAAGTGTCACAGGCAGAATCCACACACGCGCGCGCACACACACGGGCACGCACCCTTCACATCTGCAGGTCCCTAGGACTCAGGTTTCTCTCACCCACCTTTGGATGGGAGCGAAGGATCCAACGTCTCCCCTCCCGCCGTCCCTTGCTGCCTTCTCCTCTCCCTTGCGTAGTATTTTTTGAAGAGCAAGTACTATTCCAGAAGCTATAACTGTTTCCCAGCTGGAGCAAGCGGGGAAAGTCTTTGCTATTGTGTTCCCTAGTAAGGCGCGTCCCAGAAACGACAGTCCACTTCCTCGGAGAGGGACGCAGGAGTGTGTTCACGGGGACACAGCCTGGGACCCCCGCCTCCCCACGGCGAGCGCGGCTCGCACATGCACGGGGTGTATAACGAGCTCTGCATCCCTGCAGCAGACAGAGGGTCGGGCGTATATATCGCCCGGGAAGCCTCCCAGAGAGGCTGGAGAGAAAATTAAGTGGCGAGAGAACGCTCCTTCCCCACTCCCGGAGCACCTAACTCCCCCCTTCGCAACACGGCGCAGGCATCTAACAAGCCCCAGGCATTTAAAACTGCCGCAAAGCATACCGACAAACCTCATTTTGTTCTTCGCCCAAATCCAAACGGACTGCAGAGAGAGTGAATGCACGGGGCGGCGTGAGCCAACAGCCGGAACCCTATTAACCTCACCTGCTGTGTTGCCCCGTGCTCGTCGCAACACACACACACACGCACGCATTCACACTCACACTCACGCCGCCTAACACTCCTGGTCTCTAGGAGTAGCCGCGGTGACTTCCACTTACTTCATAAATAAGTGTAGCCCTCCACCATCTGGCGCTCCGCTTCAGTGTGGATTCGCACATTCAGCCCCCATTCACTTGGCTTCATTGATCTCCAGCAACAACATAGTTACTTTCTCTTTTGCTAGACTGTAAATGTAAGGTTCTGGGGGGGCGGGCCGGGTGCCGAGCGACGGCGCGTTGGGCCAATAGGAATCCGGAAAGAACTGACCGTTACCTCACAGCAGCCCTGGGCCAATGGGCGGCCTGGGGGGAGGAGCTAGGGGCGTGACCTCGTCTCTTTAAGGAAGGTAGCTCCTATGCCGCTCTGGATCCACGGTGTTAGAACACGGGCGGTGATGTCATTGGCAACCAATCAAAAACTTAAAAAGGGCCGGCCGGGGCCCTCGCGGAGCAGCTGCTCTTTATTTACATGTAAACCGAACCAGCAGGAGGCAATTAACCCTCTCCTGGGCTGAATTGTCAATTGGCTGGACTAACCGCTCCGACTCCAGCTGGCTCTGCCCACTTGACGGGATCCTACGGAACCCCGTCACGCGGGACAGACCACACTGTCTGGTTTTTATTCCTTCTTACTCAGGGCGGATGATCAAAAGTGTCGGAGTAACTTTCTGAAAGCAAGAGACAACGAGAACTGTCACTGTCCCCAGTGGGAAAACTGGGATCCTCGACTGGCTCGAGGTGACTTGACAAACCCTAACCCAAGATCCGCGGACGGTCGCGAGCGCTCAGCCAGGGGCATCGCTTCTGTTCCGGCCCGCGTCCCGGGCCATTGGTTCTGGGGGTTTGGGCTCGGACGCAGCTGGCCAGCGGGCCGGCCGTCCCTGGGCAGTGAGGCCAGGCCAGCTCGCCGCGGCCCGCGTCCAGGGGGCCACCCCGCTGGGCCTCGCGCCGCAGGGAAGCGTCGGCCGCCTGCCCGCAGATGTCGCTGCCCCTCTGGCTTCCCCACTGCTACCCCGCGCGGCGGTGGCGCGGCGCCCTCTGGCTCGCGGTTATCTGAGCCCTAGTCGTGCCCCTGCCTCCCCGTTTACTTGCCAGGGCTCGAGCCGGAGCACCACGGCGGCGGCGCGGAGGGCTGCTCGGAGGCGGCTGCCTAGGCTCAGGCCGGAAGCGACAGGAGGCGCACCGCGAGCGGTTGCACTGGCGCCCCGAGCCTAGGCCCGGCGTCCTGGGGCTCCCGGTGCGTCCGCCAAGCCCCTCCGCACGGACACCAACCGCCTGCACCCCTTCTCCAGCCTAGCGCGTAGGGTGTCCGCGCTGCACCCTCCTTCCCAGCGGGCCTGGGCAGTTGCCCGCCACTCCGCAGGGCCCCTGGCAAGCCGAGGACTGCCAGGCTGGAGCTTCTGCAGCAGTCGCGGCTGGCGGAAAGCAGCCTGAACTCGGTATAAACCACCAGAGTTTCGACCCCGGGGGGTCGCTGGCCGAGGAGTGCCCCTGGAGGAGTGGGGCTTGCCTGCAACGCGTCTGAAGAATCTCAGGGAAACTGAGGGAAAATTGTCTTGCAGTAGGAACAGGAGCGGAAATGCGGAGATGGACTGCAGAGTCCGCATCAAAGAATCCTGAAGAAGTAGAGCTGTTTCATTTATCCCTCTCCTGGCTCAGAGAGGCGGAGGTGAACGAGTGAAATGATTATGATGCAGTAAGACATTGTGAGCATGATAGAATATTTGGCTATGATTTTTCTCACCAGCTTGAAGGTGTTTGGAGACATACTTCAGGCTCCAGGCCTGATAAGTCAGCTAAGTGGTAGCGACATATGCATGTAATTGCTTTAAGTGCAGATCCGAAATCAGAAGATGCCAAAGCATGGCCTGCTGGCCAGCTCTGCTCAGTGCACTGTTCAGAGAAATCCCCTTGGGTATCCGGGGCCGGCGGGGGATACATAGGCATATACCCACAGTCTAGCTTTCACATCAGCGTTTCAAATGGAAGTAAATGCATACGATCATCTTAAACTGGAAAGGAGTCTTGTAGCCCCATCTCCACTGACACACCAACACACACGCACACGATGGCTGGGGCACACCGATTGGTTCTGCACACCCTTGGGGATCAACAGGTCCTGGCCAGGAAAGTTGCATTCAGGGCACTTTCCATAGAAATCAGAAAAAAACTTCCCCAAGGGTCTACCCTGGTGCTTCAATAGCTAAGGTGTCTCTCACCAGAGATAATTATGGGGAAGAAAACAGTTCACTGATTTGGAGGCTGGAGAGCTCTGCGTGTCAGCCCTGATTTTGACTCTTATCAGTTGTGTCCATTTATCTAGAATCACTGCATTCACTCCTTCACCTGTGAAATGGGACCACCCCAATTAAGGGCAAAAAGGAAAACATTCTGGTGCAAGTGCTCAGGTGAAAAAAGGATTACTGATAAAAGGTATTCAGAAAAAAATCGCTGTCCTTGCTTCAGAAAGTGGGGTGCCTCTGTGTAAGGGTACTGTGAGCTCTAAATTATAAATTCATTGCTAACACCTCAAAGTCTAAGCCCAGTTGAAGTAGACAATTGCAGGAGAGTTCTTAGCAGCTTTTTCTCTGAGGCCCAGAAGGGGAAAGTAACTTCAAAAAGAAATGTAACGCATTGAATGACCTGATGATTTTATAATAGTTTCAAACTAGTGATTATAACTTAGTTGACTAAAAAGGTAAGTCATCCAGGCTGAAAAATTGAAAAATGATGGCAAAATTTCTCATTTCTCAAACTTGAAACATGGAATAAATATGTCATTAACATATACAACGATGTAATTATTGTTTTAATTAGGCATCTCAAGGTGTCTAGTTTATATTCAAATTATAAAGTGGTAAAAAAATCAGATTAGAAAAGGGTATCTTTCCAGCTGCTACTCCTCTAAGCTTCTTTCCTACAAAAAGAAGTGTTGTGCCTATGTTCTGAGTCATAAACGTGAAAACGCTATTTGAAATAGTGCCCTTAGATTTGTGGGCAGCGACCAGAGGGGAGAGGGAAGGGAACTTAAGGGGAAAAAGGGGGAGGGATTTTGAGGAACAAAGGACTGGGGGGGGTGGGAGGGAGGGGGAGACCGGGCGGGGGGGAAGAGAAAAAAAATGTACTTGAAAAGTAACTAAATAAAATTAAAAAAAAAAAATTTGTAATATCAGCCGGCCAATGGCTATGAACCTGAACTGTATACAAATGACCAGCAAAGCCTTTATGTTCAGTTTTAGTCCCAAAGAAACAGCAAAGCATCTCCACTGTATTTTAGTGTTCTAACATTATATTCAGCCATCTCTGTTCCTACAAACAAGCATCATAAAAAAATATTGTTTCAGTGCAAAGTACTGTGTGTTAAATCCAAAAGATGAAGATAACTTAGGCTGACATATGAGATATACTATGGGTAGTGTTGAACAAGGTTACTAATTAAACAGCATTGTACTCCAGGAATTATGTGTGTAGGAGAATGGCTGAAGGTAGGGACTGGGTAAGAATTAGGTTTGCCAAATAGTCTTCAAAGTCAAGGTGGATTCCTGGAGATTCTAGAATTAAGGCAGAAGGAGGCTTAGAGAAAACTTAGAAACAATACATCCCAGAATAAAGGTGATATTAAATCATCAAGAAGTGGGCCAGGGGAAAGCCAGGTGGCAAGGTCACTGAGGCCAACCCGTGACACTTTCCAGGCCTGGAGAAGGACTGATAAGCAGCCTCCCTGCCTCACCCCTGCAAGAGGTGGCCACTGCAGTGTTTGGGGGGGGGGGGTGGAAATAGAAGTGGGCCCATCTGCTTTCTCGCTGTCTGTGAGTGTGGACACAGGAGGCCCCAGGTCTTGCCCTCTGAATTCATGGGCTGGTTGCCCTTGTAGCTCAGTGAGAGGCTCGGAGCCATTAAAGGTTCCATAGCTGTGTTTTCCAGTGTGGTGGCCCCTTGCCACATGTAACTATTAAACACTTGAAATGTGGCAAAGATGAGCTGCGATGCGCTCGAAGTTTAAAAATACATGCTAGATTTTGAAAACATAGAAAATGTAAATGATCTTCATCATTTTTTATGTCGGTTGCCTGTTCAACTGTTTGGATATGCCGGTGTAAATAAAGTGCTCATGAAACCAATTTTACCAGTTTATTTTTACTTTTCAGAATATGCCTAGTATGCAGTTTGAAATGACTTGTACAGTTTACATGTTTTTATTGGCAAGGCTGTTCTAGAACCTATAATTGCTCCTTTGATTTGAGGTCACTCTAGTGCCAAAGGCAACAGAACCACAGAACGATGGGCCTGGAAGGGACTTTGCAGCTTATCTAGGCCAGTGGTTTTCAAATTGTGTTAGGCTGAGCCGGAGGGAGTAGGGACGCTGGTCCATGTGACCAGTGTGGGAGCAGCCAGGAGCTGGTGCAGCCTCGAGACCTCACTCCCACCCCACCCTTGCACACTTGTTTTTTTTTAATTCCCGAGACTCCAAAGTAACACTTGAAGAAAGGATTCTGGTTGGTTTATTGTTCTATTTTGTTTCGTTTTTCATCCTGGCCAATCTTTTTTTTTTTCTTTTTCCTTTACAGTGTGAGGCAATTGCAGCAATGTGAGGCCAACATAATGGAGGTGGCATGGGCAAAGCTAGGCTTGACCTCAGACCTACTGTGGAAGTCCAGCCTGGCCACTACTGGACGCGGAAGAGGAGGCGATGATCAGCTGGGGGGATTGGTAAAGCCCCTGTTTTAGCTGGAGCTAATAATGCTTTCCCTTTCCAAGTAGTTATGTTTCCTCACCCCGAAGGCCTGCTGCCCCTTGTCAAAAGAGAGGGCTGGCTAGGCCCATGTGCATGCATCATTGACACCAACGTATTTCCTCCGTGAAAATAACAAAGAAAAAGCTAACTGCTGGCCGTGGGTCTCCAGCATGCCTTGCTCTGAGATCGACGGCCCATGATGATTGTGTTGCGACATCAAGACAACATTTTCCCACTCAACCAAGGCTGAGCAATCATTTTCTCATCAGGAAGTGGGATCCCACCCACAGCCCCTGTGTCTGACTGTGTTGCAGAAGGATGTTCTGGGATGGCAACCCCCCTTCAGGTCCTTCCGAATCCATCGAACCTTCTCAGCATATTTGCCTAGGTGAACACGGTACCACTTCTGGATATAATCACGAGATCCTTCAGCTCACCAAGTGGG